CATTACCTGGCTAGGTAACATCGTCAGTGCTAGAATGGAGTGGGGCTTGCTCTCTGTTTATATACAGTGGCCTGCCCTGCCAGTGTTGGTGGGGCTGGGGGTTTTGTGTTTGATATTGTGTATATCATTTCTTTGATTTTGTTTTTGATATTCTGTATATAAGTTTGATATTGTGTATATAATACGCATAAAGGAAAAGAGAGCTGCAAAGGACATGGTCAAAGAGAACAAGGTTAAGATTAAAACAGCAGAGCAAATGCAGAATAATTTTGATGGAAATAAACATCTGCTTTGGAAGTGGATGAAGGAGGCTAAACAAGATGAAAAAAGGAGAATGACTCTGCGCATCCATTTATTTTCTGTCTTCGATTTCTTTGACCCATTATGCAACCTCTTTTACTTGCCCCCAAAGGGAACAGTCTGAAAGATAGGTGTGTATGAGTTATAGTGTGGGGTTTTGGGGTTTTTAAATGATAAGAAGCATTTTGAAGAGGTGGGGGCTGATGGTAAGGGAGTAATTTTCTCATCTTAGCTCTGCTGGGACTTACAAGGCAAACTGTCTTTGACACGCGTAGCTCACCTGGGCATTGCTTGCAGCAGTCAGATGGGTTGACCCGGATGGGGTTGCTGCAGGCCAGGGGGGGACACTGGACCTTCTCGCAGTGAACTTCCCCCGTGGCTCCCTGTGCAAATACAGATGGGAAATCTCAGCACACAAAGAACCAGAGCATCATATACACACCCAGCAAATTTCCAGTTCTGGGGACACTGTGGATTGGAAATCCCATCATCCTCAAACAGAACAACTGGGAACTCTTGTCCCAGTCTGGACTCATTTGGAGTCAATAAGGCTAGGAAAAGTGTCATAAACAGCACTCCTCCCCAAACTGAAAAGCTGATCTTGCTTTTTAAATTGGGGATGAGAAATCTTAGCCCCAATTTCCCACTGAAATTGAGGTAGGGAACTCTACCCAAGATGCAGATGTACACTTAGCAAATTGTACTAGAGGGACCTGATGCTGGGAGAGGGCAAGCAAAGAAGCATTTGTTGGCCTAGCAGTTATTGGACAAACACAACCTGCAGTTAAAGCCAAATTTCACCGGAGTGGTAAAATCCATGCATAGCCTGATCAGGAATGATGGTTCAAATAGATATATTCTAAAGACAGAAATGCAGCATGACAATGAGAAAAGCAGGCTAGAACTTCCAAATCATGGGAAGTATTGGTTATGTTTTATCCTGCTTGGCTCAGACCCCCACCCCTTGGGGGCTGGGTCTAGTTCTGAGCACCACATCTGCAGAAGGGTTTGAACAACCTGGAAGAGGTTCAGTGAAGGGCAATGATCAGGGGACTAGAAACGAGGTGCTGTGGAGACCCACTGAAGGGAGAGAAGGACACCTTGAGCCTCAAGAAGACAAGGCTGAGGAGGAATTATGACCAAGGGAGGTCCCACAAAGACCAAGACCTCCTTCTCCCCTTTTAGAGTGGAGGGCACCAAATGGACTTTAGTTACAGGAAGGCAAATTCCAGTTCAACGTTAGAGGAAAACCCCCACATGCTAACAATGTTTGTTACTGACTGAGTGAATTATTCAGTGAGGATGGTGGACATCCTCATATTCATGGACCAGGCGGCAGGCCTTCCCTCTGGTGGTCCCCACTCTTTAGAATCCCCCTCCCCTGGAAGTATAGATGGCCCAAATCCTGCCTGCATTTCGCAAACAAGTTAAAACCATCTTGTTTTGAGCAAGCTACTACCCTTAATTGTTTGTTCTAGGTACCTTTCCTTTTTTATTTATTCATTACACTTTTATTCCTCCTTCATTTTTGGTCCACTCAAGATGGCATATATGCTCCTACCTCCTCTTTTCCCTATAACCTCAGTCCTGCGAGGTGGGCTGGGTTGAGAGAGAAGGACTGGTCCAAAAATTACCCAGCTGGCTTTCGTGCCCAAGAAAGGGCTAGAGTTCACAGTCTCCTGGTTTCTAGTCCAGCACCTTCACCACCACACCAACCAGGCTCTGTTCTTGCTGCCAACTCCCAACATAACAATAAATCTAAATTGATGCTCTGGGATGGCACTGAGTGTATACACCCCCAAATACTTTAAAACAGGTGTTAACCTAGAACTGTCAGCTAAATAAAAATAGAGATAGAGCAACCAGGGCCTATACCAGGGTTTCTCAACCTCAGCAACTTTACGATGTGTGGACTTCAACTCCCAGAATTCCCCAGCCAGCCATGCTGGCTGAGGAATTCTGGGAGTCGAAGTCCATACATCTTAAAGTTGGTAAGGTTGAGAAACCCTGGCCTATACTAACCCAATAATCAAGTAAAAAGTTCTTTAAACCCCTTTGAAAGATCTGTACATTTTCAGGAACAGGAAGGGAGAAAGGAAGGAAGCTGATTCAGGAGCCACAAGGTCACATCCTGAAGGTCCAAAATCTGGCAGCCATGGCTCTGGACCAAGGAATGGAAACAAAGCCTTTCTCAGAGGAACATCAAGGAGGGACAGGGTTGTAGGGAGAAATGAAGGCAGACAGATACAGAGGAACTTGTGACTGAAAGTCTCTAAAAACCAGCACCAGTAGTTTAAACTGGGCTTTGGCTCAAACAGGGGGCCATGGAAGAGTCTTGCACTGACTAATGTGGAAGATCTAGAACAGTCCCCAAAACACTGTTCTGGATGAAGATCAGGAGATGGACTAAGGAATTCGGAACACCTGTCAGAAGACTGTTATAAAATCTAGGAATGAGATAACCAAGGCACACACCACTACAGCCTCCTCTGTCAAAAGCCCCTGGATTCTCCAAAGTATTATTAAGTGCACATTCCTTCATTGAATGTGTTCAAGCAGATGCTGGACCACCATCTGCCAGGGATATTCCCTTTGGGCAGGACTTGAGAGCCTCAGTGGCCTCTTCCAACTCTATAGTTCTAGGAACTCTTCCCCTTGAGTTCCTAGAATTATAGAGCTAATTTTGGTTTGCTTAATGCTTAATCTAATTATTAACTAGATTAATAATTAATCTAATAAGTTGAAGGCCAAGAGAATGCAACCCAACAGGTTTACCTGCCCAATGAAAAGGAAGTCATCGAGGAAGACCAAGGAACATCTGGACTGGGTTTGCAAAACCCACGTAACCACATCAGCTAGCAGTTTGCCCGACATACAAAGTTAGGTTCGTTTTTCTGGAGTTTAACATGTTGCACAACTCCATTAAATTTGTTTATAATTCAATCGACTGGGCAAATGCAGGAAATGGGTTAATTCAATAGCTGGGTTGAGCATGTTGGACGAAAATGGCCACAGAAATTAAAAGGGTGCAATGGACTTTTTCAAATGTCTGGTTGATGATTCCTCCCTACCTTGCAGGTGCAAATGGCGCATTTGATGAGCCCAAAGGGTGGGACTACAGGGTGCCAGCGTGTGCCCGCTCGTCTCCATGTCTTGTCGCCATCAAAATAGCACCCTAAGATAGAGAAAGAGGGTCAGAGCACTTCCCTAAATCTCAAATGCAGTGTAGATCCTACTGTTGGAGCTGAAGGCCTTATGTGGCCCTGAAGGAGCATCTCTTCTTTGGTAAACCTTGGCTGAACTCAAAAACCAGATCAGGATTGGATCTTGTTAATACATGGATTGGAGACCTCCAGGAAATGTTGGGACTGTAGGTTAGTCTGGGAATAACAAAATAAACTTTCTGGAATAAGGGCAAGGGCAAGAGCAAAAAAAAAAAAGATAGGGCTTTCTTTTCTTGTGGTGACAATTCCACTTTACCCTAACCCTATTAAAGGAGATACAGATACAGTTATCACAACTTTATTTTCTTTTCTGGGTCAGAGTCCTTTCTCCTTGTTTTGCCCAGGCACTTTAAATATTCAATGCTTTATTGAATTGTCTGAGTCATTTGGTTATTGTCCGATGGATGAGTAACCTCTCTTCTTTTAATTTTGCCCTTTTTCTTTTTCATACAATATTCTAATTTTCTTTTTGTTATGCTACATAATGACTGAAATACCCTGTTTTTAGGATTAAGGGCATTTTATGTGTTAAAACAGCTCAATCAATACATACAGTACATAAACAAGCCAAGTTTAGAATGAAGGTCCTAAAAGAAAGAAGTAGTCTAAAGCAACTAAGTTTTTTAACCAGCTTCTCCCAATGGGGGCCAATCTAGATGAGTGGACTTCTGCTCCTGGAATCTAAGCAATCGTCTTGCAAACAGGGCAGTCCTGCTGGGGACAGAGGCTGCTTTCAACTACAACCCCAACTTATTTCTTTTCCCCATTTTTTCCTAAAAGAAGCTATACATTAGTTATTTGTGGTGCATATGTTCACCCTTCCATTGATCCGAAGGTCTTCAAAGTAGCTCCCAACGCAGGGCGAAGGAAGGCAACCATATGCCCTCCAGATGTTTGGACTTCAACTTCCCTCAATTGGAGACAGCAAGTCCAATGGCAAAGGACTGCGGGAGTTGTAATCCAAAACATGTGGAAGGCATCGGATGCCTGAGCTAAAACAAACTGAAACATATTTTATACTTTTCAGGATTTATTAAATTTTTATCCTGCCTTTTTGCCAACAATCACACTCAAGCAGCTGGCAATCAGAAAATGGGAATAATAGCAATAACAATCATATGATCATCTCAAAATCATATGAGAAGAGGGAATGGGGAGAGAAATTTAACTACAGTTCAATGAAATAAAAGAAGCCTTGTTAAGTGGCCCTCTAAGACTAGGTTCACACATTAGTCCAGCCTAAACTGGGGTTGGACATTTCATGGTTCAGTGGGTTGTGGGAACCGGCTCTAGCCTTAGCCTGTTGGGTGAACCGGACTATCTTGTAAAGCCCTAACGTGATACTGTTCTTTGTTCTTGTTTTAATTTGGATCTATTATCTCATTTGAACTTAGCAACTATGTTTTATTAAATTGGGTTTAATGCCTAGCATGTTGTGAAAACCCAGCCTAAGCGCCACAACGTGAAGGTGAATTGACCAGCCAAAATACAATCCTGTGGCTGCTGCTGATTGGCCATCCTGTATCCCAGCCAATCAGCTCTGATGACAACTTGGTCCTGAGCAATGATGAATGAACCCGCCCCCACCCATGGATTTCTGCCAGGGCTCTGTGGCAGGTGCACAAGATCTCTTTGCATCTTTGGTGGCCAGTGCAACGGCTGAGGCCTACAAAGAATTTGCAGTCTTCTTTGCCAGAGGGGCCCCAATGCTCAGCCTCCTCACCCCTTCCCTTACCTTCACTGCTGTCTCGGATTTTCTCTGCTCTTTTCTGTTCTTCGTTTCCTTCTATTCAAGGAGAGAGGATGTACATGTGCATCACGGATAGAAGGGAAAATGCAGGATCAGCGGTGAGTGGGACAACGACCCTCCCCTAAGGGTGCCTCCCTCTTCCCAGGCCTTCCCTGGGCAGCTTTACCCAGCCTTCTTTCCAGTGCGGCATTGCCCTCTCATCATTCCATGCCAAGTCCAGAACCACCTCCCACGCAGCTAGGTCTGGACTGCATGTGCTAAGCTGTGCAAAGACAGAAATCTGTACCTAAAACCTCTGGCTTTAAGATGCAGACATCCATTTTCTCCCTGGGATGATGCCCATGGTGCAACATGCCCACGGATATTTCCCTTGGTCTATACAGGCTCTGTCCACCACCTGCCTGACTCCCTTCCCTTCCCTTCCCTTCCCTTCTTCCCTTCCCTTCCCTTCCCTTCCCATCTACCATCCATCCATCCACTCACTCCTTCACCCACCTCCTCCCTCCCTCCCTCTTCCCCTTCCTTCCTTCCTCTCACCCATCCATCTCTCTCCCTTCCTTTCCCCCATCTATCTACCTACTCCCTCCCTTTCCAGAAACAGAAGCAGCCATGCTTTAAAACACAGCCCCAGAATCTACACCGTCTTTATTTCCAAGGATGGTTCCAGGCTTGAACATGGGCAACATTTTGCTAGGAGGTAAAAAGGGTAAGGGGGCTTTGGTTGGAAATGTTCCTGCTGATCCACCAAAAGGACAAAGGTAAGCCAGAATAGTAGGGGGTGTCCGGAAAGCGGGCAGAGCAGGTGTCAGGTAGCATTCTCGCAAATGAGTACAGTCATTATTTGGCAGTGTGATGTGATACCTAGCAGATATTTTGCAACAGCACCTACAGTTTGTTCTTAAATTCCCAAAGGTGACTATTTGCCCCCAAAGGCTGTTGGACCCTGACAGAGAACCTCTGTTCCACCATCCATGGGATTTGCTCCCCTCTTCACCTGCATCCCTCTGACTACCTTCAGAGTATCTGACAGAGACCCCGGCCTCCCATCTGCACGCTTCCCCCTGCCATGCCCAGGTTACCTTCACACACAGGGCAGCACTGATTGCTTTGGTGCACCGGGTGGGAACAGTTGAGGGGCTGGCACAAGACCGGATCACAGATCACCGTGCGCTTCTGTAGCACAGGAAGGGGACAGAAAAAGAGTTACAGAAGGAAGATGATTAGAGTGGGCAAAGGGAGGTGCAGAATTTTGTTCTAACTCTGACCGAGCCTTGCAGCATCCATTCCTTCTTACAATCTTGCTATAACGGTTGCAAATGTGTGCCAAATGACTCTGCTCCTCACTCTCTCTTTTGCTTTTCATTAACAACTTCCATGGCTCTTCTTGGGGGGAATCCATCACAGTTAGCTTGTGAGCAAGCCTTGTCCTTCCACGCTTCCTACAGAGGCCCACAGAATCAAATGCCACAAAGTTTAAGGAACTGAACGTTGGTTTCAAAATAAGTCCTGTTTATGCTCTCCAGGACTTCTTGGAGCACAGGTTGAAAACAAGCATGATTAATTCCTTTATTTATCAGTCAATAAAATGAGTGTGTATTTTTTTGTGCCTTTGAGTCAGTCTTGACCCCTGGCGATTGCCTGGACAAGTCGCTACAGATTTCTTGGCAAGGTTTTTCGGAAGTGGTTTGCCCTTGCCTCCTTCTAGGACTGAGATGGAGTGACTGGCCCAAGGTTGCCCAGCTGGCTTTGTGCCTAAGGCAGGACTAGAATTCAGAGTCTCCCAGTTTCTAGCCTGATGTCTTCACCACTAGACCAAACTGGTTTTCATAAAATGAGCACGGGGATGTACCAAAGTATTTGTTCTCCAAGGTGCCCAACATGCAGACACATTTGGATACAAGGCTTGCTATTGTGGGAAAAGATCATGATAAGTCTTCCAGGTGATGGTGGAAGTGCTACAACCCTCCAGACAAAGGTCAAACCACAGAGCACGGGCAAAGGGGCCCATATCAGCCTACAGGTCACCCATATCTTGCAGCCAACACCTGTTCTAAGAAAACATCCTCAATCACATTGAAGGACTTGACACGGCTCACAAGATAAAGGTAATTTTTGCAGCAGCCAAATTAAACTGGACTCCAAGTGATCCCTAGATACCTTGCTGTGGCCACTTATGCTTCTTATGCATTTATTATCTGCATATATGGTCAAAATACTTGAGATCTTGAGGTGTTCCATTCAAGAGAGTGCACAGGATGTCCCCCCAACAGAGAAAACCTGGCTTACGATGTAAGCAAAAATACAAAATTAAGACCCAGACTCCTACCCCGGCATATATGGGAACCCAAACACAAAACCATCCTTCTAGTGAGGCGCTGAGATGCTTCAGTTCTTCCAGGAAGCCGTGACTGCACATTACGCCACTCTCTTTCCACCTACCTGACAGCTGCATACAGAGCACTTCTTGTCATAGTCAGGGGCCCAGCGGGAGCCATGAGGTCGATGTTGACCTTCAAAAAAGCAGGAGTTGGGGTCTTTCTTCAACTCCTTGGGGTCCTTGGGGCTTGATTCCCCAACAAGTTCGTCCTCTAGATCCACGGAAGCCAGCTGGATGCCACCCGCCTTGCATTGATTTGGAATGTGAACCTGAAAGAACAGTGGCTGTTAAACAAGTGAGCTGAGGTTTGGTAAATATGGGCAGAACATCTGGACACATCGACAGGAATGGGGCCAGCTAGGAGGCAAAGGAAAGAGAAACCAAGTTTTCCTTAATGAAGCAGAATGATGAGACTTGCCATCAGATCTATCTGAAAGGCACTGGATTTGGAAGCCTAAGGCAGTGTTTTTCAAGCTTGGCAACTTTAAGATGAGTGGAACAACTCCCAGGATTCCCCAGCCAGCAGAATTCTGGGAGTTGAAGTCCACTTATCTTAAAGTTCCCAAGGTTGAGAAACACTGTCATAGACTAACACAGCTCTCCTCCTAAGATGTCTGCAATGCTTTAAATAAATCGCACAGATATACCTAAATGCTAACTTCCAAGAGCATCATGGCCCCTGTCGCTGTATCTTCACCTACTCAGGTCAAACGGGAAGGCAAGAAACAGGTGGGAAAGGTAGAATGGGATGGGAAGAACCGCCCTAGTACAGCACGTGGAGTCCTTGGGGTTCTCTGAGCTTGGTTGTTTTCTTGCAAACGTCTCATTGCCCGGCTACGTAACATCTTCAGTGCTAGCAGTGAAGATGTTACCTAGCCAGGTAATG